CTTGTTTGTTACCCTTGGTGGCTGAGGTCAGGTGAAGCTATCAGGGTGAGTGAGGTGTCTTGGCCAAGGGGGCCTAGGGAGTGGGAAGATTGGAGGTCTAGTGCCAACTACAAAATACCCAGTTGCTGCCACGAGGGGGAGCCAGAGTGCACCATTCCTCAACCCTTTTTTTTTTTTTTAAAGATTCATAGTATTTTATTATTTTTTTAAATTTTATTTATTTATTGGACAGAGAGAGACACAGCAAGAGAGGGAACACAAGCAGGGGGAGGAGTGGAGAGGGAGAAGCAGACTTCCCGCGGAGCAGGAAGCCCGATGCGGGGCTCGATTCCAGGACCCTGGGATCATGACCTGAGCCGAAGGCAGACGCTTAACGACTGAGCCACCCAGGCGCCCCCCTCAACCCTTCTTTTTAAATTTGAATAATTTATTGTGTGCCTACTTGTGCAACATACTGGGAATTCAATACTGAGCAAATTCAGGCACAGGTCCTGCCCTCACATATCTCACCATTTGGTGGGGAAACATGTGAAATCATCACACAAGCCAGTGTAAAGCATCTGTGGTGACGGCGAGGGGAGGGGCGGGGCATGCAGGAGAGATCCATGGAATCATGAGACCCTACAACCAGGAGACCTGACCCAGGAATTGAGGTTGAGAGAGGCTTCCTGGAGGCAGTGACTACTCAGCTGAGATCTGAAGGATGCTCAGGTTGGAGTTAACTGCCCCGGGGGTGGAAAGGGCATCCCATGCAAATGGAACAGCACGTGCAGAAGTGTAGGGGCTGGGGGATGCATGATGAGTAACAGGGCCTGAAGGGGGCTGCTGAGGCAGGGTGAGGGAAGGATGCTGTGTTGAGGCTGGAAAGTGGGAAGGGGGCAGATAATGCAGGACACTGTAGGCTGCCGGGAAGAATCTGGGTTTTATTATAAGTGGCATGAGAAGCCATTGGAGGTTTTGAACAAGGAGGAGAAGCTTCTTTCTTCAGGAAGCTCCAGTGGTAGGTCTGTTTGCATGTAGGGGACAGAACTGGAGAAGGGAGACCGAGGAAGGGGCTACTGCAATGGTCCAGGCAGAACGCTGACCCAAACAAGGTTGGGGCCTGAAGTGGATGGACTGGAGAGAGATTTGAGACTACCTCACCAGGGGCCTCTGTCCCCTATGCAAAGGAGGACAGTGTGGACCACTATCCAATGATCTGGCTCTCAGGCAAGGTTGCAGAGACTGGAAAAAAGAGCTGTGGGACCCAGGTGTGTGATATCCAAGGATGCGTCCCTCAGATGAGGAAGCTGACCTGTCTGTAGCATAAGAATTAAGAACTTTTTCCAGGTTCAAGTACCAGGCAGACCGTGGACGTTGGCTCTGCAAGGCAGAGACCATGACTGGTTGGGGGGAGTTTCCTTCCAGGAAATGCAGGCCTGGAAGGGGGACACACACCCAGCGGTAGCTGATTATACATTTGGAAGCAAAGAGTGTGGGAGGAGAGAGATGGGGGCAGGCTAGTTCCTCTAGCATGGCTCCCCTCTGCCTTCCCAACAGAGTGCCTGGGTCATTCCCCACCCCCATGCGGGAACAATACTACTATGGACAAATGATCACATGTATCTAGAATTTAAAGTTAAAATGTAGCTTGTCCAACACTGCCCAGCTGAGTCCACCAATTTCCTGAGCCGGGGAATGCTCCTCCTCCTCCCATGGTCCATCCCCTGTGTGGCTTTGAGAATGCCTTGCATATTTTTGAGACCAGGTTTCCTGGAACCAAAGTTCCAGGCTCCTGGAGCGTTTTCTCGAAGTAACTATAGTCCTCATACCAGGACGCTCTCCTGTCTGCATGCTGCCACATCCAACCTATGTGTCTGGGTTAGCGGCAAAGATAACAAAGGCCCCGAGTGTCTCCGTGTCTGGGGTCCCTTCCCTGCCAGGCCTCAGCTAATGCCAAGCTTTCACAGCTCGTTCTGTGGGCACGTGGTGGGGGGAGTCCGATAAAGGGGTCCTCCGAAAAGGGATGTTTCTCTTCCAGGTTGAACCTGAGCGTGGCCTCTGCCTTTGATTCTTCCCTGGTGCCTGTCCCCCTATATGCTTCACAAAAACAAGGATGGGCATCTGTGCTTGGTGCTGCCCTGACCCGTACAGAGCGATGCTGGGAACCCGGAGGGGCAGAGGGGGACCAACCCAGCCCCAGACCCCGCCTTCACAGAGCTCCAGGCCCATGGGGGAAATACATGTTCCCTAAACAATGGCACCCCAAAGTGGAGAGGGCTGGGATAGGGGAAGTGCAGGGAAGACTGATTAGGGCCTGTCTACGCGCAAGGGACTTTGGGAGCCCAGAATGGGCTCCTCACTGAGCCTGGCTTGGGAGGTGGCCTGAATGTGGGGCCAGCTTCATGGCAGTGTGACCTGTAGCATCCCACCACAGCACCTCACGTTTGGAAGGGCCCTGTGCGTGGTTGAATGCCCTGCTGTCGCCCTCATGAAATTCTTAATAATTTTTGAACAAAGGACTCCACATTTTCATTTCACACTGGGCCCTGCATACTTGCGGGATATACAAAAAGAGCCAGGAGAGGAGAGGGTCTTCCAAGGACAGAGAACACTGTGTGCAAAACACAAAAGGAAGAGAGGATTGTACTCTTGAAGAGCTGGCTGAAGTTCTGTGTTGCTGGAGCACGGAGCGGAAGATGGGGGATAGTGAGGGGTGAGCTCAGGAAGCAGGTGGATGTCAGCTGCCAGGCTGGCGATCAGTGACACCATTCCAGAGGCACTAAGGAACCATGGCGGAGGGTCGGGGTCAGGCTTGGACTTCAGAAAGATACATCTGTCTGTGGTGGGGAGGGTGGCTAGTGCCACATGACAAAGAACAAGGTCCGAGTGGGAGGCTGGGCTGCCTGTGGAAAGGGTCAGAGTGTCCGGTCACTGTGATGCAGGCTCATGAAGAGCCTTGAATACTTGGGTGACAGTCACCCAATGCACCAGGAGACTGGCCAGGGAGACCCAAAGCCACAGGCTGAATCCAGAGCTTCATTTTCACTTGAAGATTTTCACTGTTGGGGAGTGGGGTGCACAAGGGTAGGTTAATGGGTGTCACCGGTAGGTACTTGAAAATCTTTATATGAGAACTCACATGGATAGACTGATGAAAGTGAATACAAAATTTACAAGAATTTAGAGTATAAAATGTAAGACTTCAAAGGACTTTATTCTGGGTATATTCTGGCTTCAACTCTGTGGAACCCCTGGAGGGCGATTCCCTCTCCCCGGTCCTCCAGATAAAACATCAGATCTTTCGGAACTTCCTCTTCATCCATAGCCCTAAACGCTGTGGGCCCTCCACCACCACCCCCACCCCCGGGGCTGGGAACTGACCCCCTTCCTGCTTCTCCACTCACCTCCTTCTGGGGGTGGCCCCTCTCCACACGCCCCCATGCTCCTGTTTTCCTTCTCTGCCGAAGACCCCCACATCTCTGTCCCCAGCGCTGGCCCCTCCTCTAAACCTGGCTTCCCTCGGCTTCCTGGACAGCCCCCAGGCCTCTCACATCCACCGGGTGCCACACTGGCCTTAGCTTCCTCCCAAACCTGCCCCTCTTCCCCAGGTCCTCTCAGGACGACCCTCCCCTCAGCCTCCTGGCAGCCCTCCCACCTAGCCTTCCTCCCTTCTCTGGCTCCACCTTGTTCTAGCTCCTGCCTCACCCACCTGGGTCCCTGCATCTCCTCCCCCTGGAGTCCTGGTCTCAGTCTCCCACTCTGGTCCGGGGAATCTTCGTAAAGCCAAACCTGACCCTCCTCTGCATAAAACCCTCCATGGCTCTCCTGGGTTCCTGGGACAAAGTTCTAGCTACTCAGCCTGGCAGTACAGGCCTTGCCCCTCCCCCACCTGCCCCCAGCTCCACCTCTAGCATATATGTTCCCCACCTCAGGCTGGAAGGAAGGAAGTACTCCCTGAAAAGCCCACCCTTTTACACCCCCACGTTGTTCCTGTGCCCTGGGGGGAGCCTTCCTTCACTTCCTCTGCTTGTGTTGAAGAGCAGAGGAAGGATCTTAAGCAGGTGAGAAATGAAGCTTTGAAAGAATTCCTTCTTGAATTCTCCCTCTACCCTCCCTACCAAAGGCAAGGGTTCTGGGGGGAGAAAGGGGCCAGGGGTGCAGGTTCCTAGGACCTGGGAAAGAAGGGGCTGGAAACTGAATCCAAGGCCTTTCCTTGTCTGGAGAGCCAGCCTGTCCTTCGTCCCGGATCCTCCACGTAGGGTGCAACCCCATTGTTCTCCAGCTCAGGACGTTCTGGAAGGAGGGGAGTCATGTGGAAGCCATTGTCTTTCCTTGGGCAACTCCGCCCCATAGCCTCCAGACCTGCACATCCAGCACATCATGTCCTCTCCTGCCTCTGTGACTTCCACGACCTAGGAGTTCAGGTCCCCAGTCCCCTCCTCCCTGAGACACAGAAGTCCAGTGTCTATTTCTCTCCTTCCTCAGAATCCAGGAGTCCAGGCTCCCGCTTCCCAGGACACCTAAAATTCAAGCCTGAAGGCTCTCTGCCCTTGGCAGGCTCAGGAGTCCTGTCCCGCTTTTCTTGGAAACCATGGAATTCTTGCCCTGCCCCCTTTGATCTCCTAATTCACTTCCCCATATCTGTCCCTCCCTTCTCTCTGTGTCGCTCCCCCTCTGTCTCTCCATCTCTCCCATCTCCCTGCCCCCACCCACATAATTAGGCCTCATTACAATCAATGGCACCAGGTCAGACTGGAACCAGTGCTAATGGGGACATCCGGCGTGCTGATGGGAGGTCTGGGCTCAGGCATCTGGGACTATAAATACCCCCGCACTGTGGCCTCAGCCCAGCTCCTGCAGGTGAGACCTGCAGCCTTGCCTTTTTGCCTGGGCTCTGAGGCCTGAGCCCTTCTCTGGGATGCCCCCTGTGCCCCCTTCTGCTCCTGCGGTGCAAGGGCTGAAGCAGACTGGCACTGAGAGACTGCTCTAGCCCCTAACTGTCCACCCTCTCCCCGGCCATGGCTGCCCTTTCCTCTGCCCTGCTGTGCCTTGGTGCCCTGGGCTGCCTGTGGGGTGAGTGATCCATGGGGGATGCAGAAGACTGGTGAGCTGCTCTGGATCTGCAGCAGGGGACTGGTTGTGCTGGCTGGGGTTTGGGGCTGCCTGGCATGGTTCTGTAACAGGGGATTAGCCACGGTGGAGCTTCTTGGGACAGGGCCCTGGCCCGCTGGGTCCAGGGACTGTTTGGGTAGACTCTGTGGCGGAGAATTGGCCAAACCGGTTGTGGGAAGGGGGCTGAGCAGGCTTTTCTGGGACAGATGGTTCAAAGGAAACAGCTTTTTTTTTTTTTTTAAAGATTTTATTTATTTATTTGAGAGAGAATGAGAGAGAGCACATGAGAGGGGGGAGGGTCAGAGGGAGAAGCAGACTCCCTGCCGAGCAGGGAGCCCGATGCGGGACTTGATCCAGGGACTCCAGGATCATGACCTGAGCTGAAGGCAGTCGCTTAACCAACTGAGCCACCCAGGCGCCCAGAAAACAGCTTTTTTTAAAGTTAATATTTACCAGATATTGTTCCATGGCCTTTACATATATTATCTCATCTAATATTCTCATAGCTCTGCCAACACCCCCTTTTGATAGATGAGGAAACTGAGGCCCGGAGGTGGTACCTTGCCCACGTTGACATGGCTAGAGCATGGCGGTCAGGATTAAAACCTGATGTATTTGACCTCAAAATCCAACAGATTACGCTGACTCCCTCCTTTCCCTTTGGGTTCCCTCAGGCCCAACGGTTGCATTTGTGGATTTCCAGGGCCGTTACTTCATCACGGCTTTCTTGGAGAATGGGGGCGCTGAGAAGCCCAACTTCCGCCTGTACGTGTCGCCACCGCCCAAGGGGCCCCCGACGGCGGTGCAAGTGAGGGCGCACCCGGTGGGGGGACCGCCCCTTCGGCGCGCGCTGAGCCTGCAGCCAGGCACCACTGCCTTGGTGCGCCTGCCCAGCGCTGTGGAGCTGCGGGGCTCGCGGCGGGCGGCGGGGGGCGCGGTGCGCTTAGCCGCGTCGCGACCGGTGGGAGTGACCGTGGTGAACGCGCGTGGGCGCACCTCCCTAGACACGGCACTAGCGCTTCCGCGCCGCCTGCTGGGTACGCGCTACGTGGTGGTGACGCCGTCGCTGCAGCCCCAAGACCGGCACAAGGAGTTTGCGGTGGTGGCCGGCGCTTGGCCCACGCGCCTGCGCCTCACGCCTCCGGTGCCCATCCTGCTGGATGGCGTCGAGCATGCTGCCGGCCGGCCCCTCCTCGTGCGCCTTGAGCCCTTCCAGGCGCTGCAGGTGCAGAGCGCAGGCGACCTGTCGGGCACCCGCGTCGTGGCCACTCATCCCGTCGCGCTGCTGGCTGGCCACAGTTGCCTGCAAGCGAGAAATAAGGCCTGTGGCCACGTGTCCGAGCAACTCCTGCCGCAGGATTACTGGGGCCGCGTCTACGCCGTACCCCCGTTCGCGCCCGCGGCTCCCGGACCCAAAGACCACGTGTACGTGGTGGCGGACAGCCTGGGCAGTCTGAGCTTCTGGGGGGGCGGCGCCGAAGGGGCGCAGGCTCTGCGCGGTGGAGTCGTGCTGCACTTCGCCGTGGACCCAGTGCGCCCCCTGGTGCTGCGCTCCTCTGCCCGCCTGCAGGTGCTTTTCCTGGCCGCAGCTGCGGCCCGCGGGGGCGTCGCCTACAATCCCTTCTTCGCTCTCTTGCCTCCGGTGGACGCGTTCAGCCGCAGCTTTGCGCTCACAGCGCAGCCGGGCTTTTCCAACGTGGCGGTGCTGCTGGCGCGCGAGCCCACCCCGGTGCTCCTTGATCAGCAGCCGCTGCCCAACCTGCACTGGCGCCTAATCCCCGGCGGCCCAGAACCGGGTCACGGGCAGCATTCTGGTGAAAGCCACGCCACCGCTCCGGGTTTCGTCTGGACCGAGGTGGCGTATGGACCTGAGCCCGGAGTGGTGCACTTCCTGGAGACTCGCGGGCCGCCCGTGGGCGTGCTCAGCTTCGGCACCGCCCCTGGCGCGGGCTTCGGGACCCAGGCCATGGGGCAGCCAAGCGTGGGTGAGCAGCACTGGGGCCCAGGACGGTGGGAAGTTGAGCAGACGATGGGATTCCAGGAGATCAGGGACGGGGAAAATCATAACACTACCTTCAGTTGTTCACATAGCAGTCCGAGGGGCAGGGGTTTTTTTTCATGCAAATCACTCCCTCCTCCACTCAAAATCTTTCCATGCCATTATTATTACACCCAGCAAAAGCACAGTACTTACAGTGTTGTGTGTGTGTGTGTGTTTTTAAGATTTTATTATTTGAGAGAGAGAACAGGAGCAGAGGGAGAAGCAGACTCCCCACCGAGCAGAGAGCCCTATGTGGGGCTCAATCCCAGGACTCTGGGATCATGACCTGAGCAGAAGGCAGATGCTTAACCAACTGAGCCACCCAGGCGCCCCAGTACTTACAGTGTTTTATGAGGCCCCATACAATCTGTTCCCATTACCTCTCTGATCTCATCTGTTACTCTTGTCCTTCACTCACTCCAGTCCAGCCACATAAGCCACCTTACTTTCTTCTCCCTGCTCAGAGCCTTTAACACTGACTGTCCCCATGATATCTTTATAGATCTCACCCTCATCTCCTTCAAGTCTTTGCTCAAATGCCACCTTCTTACCGAGGCCAAATTGACCGCTCAATTTAAAATCGCAATTCCCCATCCCTGGCAAACTCCAGCCCTTCCCTGATTTTTTTCCAGCTCATATCACTTTCTATATACTTACTTATTATCTTTCTCTGTCTCCCATCAGTTCCTTGAAGTCAATGCTTTAAAAAAAAAAATTAAGTAAGTTCTAAGATACACAGTTAATTGTACGATTTTTAGGTAGGACAGTGTCCAACCCTTAGTAAATATTTGTGGAATGAATAATAATGGTTATAAGTTGTTAAATGTGCACCAAATCATATGCCAGGCACTGGGCTCAAAAAGGAAGTTATTGTTGAAGGTCACATGTTCTTTTTCTTTACTACAGTGTAAATTGTGAACATTGGGGTCAGGGGAAGGGATAAAATAATGGGTGCTTGACCTTCCCACTAGTCTTTGAGGTTGACTGTAGAACAGTATTGTAATAATTCCTTTTTTTCTGGGGAGGGGAAGGGCTAGAGGTTAAATCTTTTAGCAAGTTTGCACAGCTAGAAAGTGGCAGAGCCAGGATTTGAACCCAAGTCTACTTGCTTCCAGAGCACAAGTTTTTAACCACCTTTTTGTGTTGTTTTATTTTGTACTGCTTCACACAGACTTATAGTCTAGACTTATGAGCTAAGCGGTAAGTGATCTTATATATAATGTATGTACATTATACAATGTATTCCTCACAGCCACTCTGGAGGCAGGTCTCTTTATTATCCCCATTTAAAAAAAAAAAAAGATTTATTTATTTATTTATTTGAGAGAGGGAGAGAGAGTGGGGGGAAGGGCAGAGGGAGAGAATCTTCAAGCAAACTCCCTGCCAAGCGGAGCCCACCGTGGGGCTAGATCCTAGGACCCATGAGGTCATGACCTGAGCTGAAACCAAGAGCCGGATGCTCAACTGACTGAGCCACCCAGGAGCCCCTGTTATCCCCATTTTATAGAGGAAGCAGTTGAAGGTTGAAGAGTGCCTGGCATGCAGTAAACATTTGGTATCATTAATTTTCAACAATTTATTTTAGATTTACTTCAGGCTAGGCCTGTTCTGGGTACTGGAGATGCAACAATGTACAACATAGAAACATTCCTACTGAAAGGAGCTGATACTTTAGTTCATATTCTAATCCATACCAAAAGTCTGTATTATGTTTTGATGGAAAATATGCAAACCCTTACAGAACAAAGTTATTTCTTAAAAGTTCACTTTGTAGGTGTCTAGTATCATGCATCAATAGCTATGAAAAAAAATAACTCCCCTCCCTGGGAAATGGGGTGGCTAGATCCCAACAGAACACACACACACACACACACACACACACAATACACAATACATACACACACACACACATTTTTAAGGCTGCTTAACATGGCAAGCTGGAAGTCCTCACTGGCCAAAATCAACCCACAGATGTGTTTAGACTTACTGGCACATAGATTTTGTTAATAACTGATTGGTGTCCTTAGATGGAGTCTGCTCTCCAGCTCATCACAACCCTATGTATACCCACACTGTGCTGACCATTTCTGTATTGTCCTTCAGCCCCACCTTTTTCTTTCTGACGATATAGGCCCACTTCATTTTAGATTGGGAACCCTGCTAGCTTATGAATTTTGAGTCTCCATCCACCCTGGAGGCCTAGGGCATGAAGGCAGGAAAGGGATGGGACCAAATGCCAGGATCTAGTTCTGTTGCATCATTTCATCTCATCTCATCTCCAGATATTCTGACTGAGGAAGATCTGAACCCTCCTACAGAATTCTATCCCCTCCTAGAATCTTCCCTGGTGATGCCACTCCAGTTCCCAGGATCCTGTAAGGACCATGTATGCTCCATTGGGACCACATGTCACCTTGTGAAGCACAAACCTGAGTGTGTGGCCAGCACCCAGGCCACCGAGATCATGTTCAGTCCCAAGACAATATCTCTGACGGACTCTAATACAGTGTCCTTCTCCAGCTCTAAAACCACGGCAGTGGCCAAACCGGGATCAGAGAGCACACCTGAAGCAGAACCAGGGCTTGTATCTGTGGCCATGAATGAACTTGAGCCTCAATCGTTAGCTTTGGTTAAACCAGAACTTGAACCTTTGGCTCTAAAAGAACCAATTCCTGAGACCCTGGTTGTGGCTGAACCAGCAGCTGCACCTTTCCCCCTGCCAGTGCCCACGGCTGAACGAGAGTCCAAACCCAAGACAGTGTCTAAGGCTGGGTCAGAAACCATCTCAGCGGCCAAGCTGGGGCTCAAGGTGGTGGCAGTGACTGAACCAGGCTTGGAGGCTGTGACTATGGCAAAGCAAGAACTTGGAACTGTGGCTGGGTCCAAAATGGTGTCTGAGGCCAAGTCGGAGACAGTGGGCGTCTCTCGTAAGGGGCAGGGGGGCATCACAGGGGGTACCTGCTGGGCATCCGGGCTACCATACATCTACACTTTCGATGGCTACTCTTTCCCTGTGTCTGGAGGCTGTACCTACATGCTGAGCCATTGCCCTCAGGCCCTCCCCAGTGGCCTCCCTGCCTTCCAGCTGTGGATCGCCAGCTCTGGAGAGAGGCAGCCCATGCACTTTGTCATGATGCGCATCTTTGGTGTCACCATCACTGCTGTCAAGCATGAGTTCGGCTTTGTCCAGGTAAGAATCATTATGTATGGAATCCTGGGAAACTATCCTTCTCCATCCCTCATTTTTGTCAACTCTACAGTGGAGGCAATTATATAGGTCCACAGTCCCTTATCCAAAATGCTTGGGGCCCGGTGCATTTCAGATTTTACAATTTCAAGTGGTCATCCCATGCAAATGCCATATATCATATAATAATCCCAATACGTGTTACATAATTACAAGCATTAATATCTCTGCAGTGAAATGTCTGAATATTCACACTAAGTGGGATAAATAAGACTTTAAGCAGCCATACCATGAGTTCAGGTCAGCTTTGGCTGCCAATTGCATTTTTGACATCAAATACACAAAACATCTTAGTCTTCAGGCCACTTTTGCATTTGGGGATTGTGGCTAAGGGACCATGGATTTCTAGCACCTATGTTAACAGGTTCCTGTGAAGCGGGAATGAGTTAACATACAAAAAGCACTTGGAACAGAGTCCACCTCGTGGTAAGTGTCATCTGAGGAGTTTGCCATGTTTATTGTCCCCTAACACTGACAACTGGAACCTCTACATTCTGTGAGCTTTGGACTTATCCTTGGACCACATGCAGCCACAGGCATGTGTGAAATTTCTCCTCAGGGAAGGTTTGGAGGCATTACTCTGGAAGGTTGTGGGGACTAGAATATGTTTAATCAGGGTTGCTAGAGGGAGCAAACCTATGAGGTTATGGATATACTAAGCTACTCCTCAGCACCACTATAGAGAGACAATGGACTCTGGAAACGGATGGCCTGAGTTCAAGTCCCAGGTTGACCACCTGTTATGTGTATGACCTTAGGCAAATTATTTAAACTCTCTGGGCCTTAGTTTCTTCATCTGTGAAATCAGGATGACAAAAAGATTGAACTCATCAGACTGTAGGGAGGATCAAATAGGCTAATATATGGAAAGCACAGAAGTACAGGATGCTAGGACCTGATGCATGAGCCCAAGATGCTCCATACTCCCCTCCACACACCTTTTGGGAACTCACACTGCCACTCAGGAGTCAGGAGTTCCCCAAGTGCTCTTATGGCTCCCCAGCAACCAGCACCCCAACCCAGGTATCTAGCACCTTCACATCCACAGGGCGCCAGATTTATACTCTCATCAAATGAGCCCCCATCTCCAAAGGACCTGACACTCCTGAGTTTCTTCATCGATTAAGGAATGTTTTACTATTATGTACCAGACCTTGCTTAAGGCACTGAGGACACATCAGTGATCAAGACAGACAAAATCCTTGTTCTCACGGTACTTATGTTCTAGTGGAGAAAGATCAGCAATAAATAGAAGTTATTATGTAGTATGTTCAAAGGTGATACATGCTAAGGAGGAAAAAATGGATTATGTTCGAAGGTGATACATGCTAAGGAGGAAAAAATGGATCACGAAAGTGGCATCAGGATGTCTGAGAGCATAGTTTTAAGTAGGAGCACCTCTCTGAGAAGATGAAACTTGAGCCAAGTCTTAAAAGAGATGAGGGAGAGAGCAATGTGTACATCTGAGAGAAGAGCATTTCAGGCAGAGGGAACAGCAAATGCCTAAGGGGGGAATCTCACAGGCATGTTCGAGGAATAGCAAGAAGCCAGGCTGAAGAGGAGGGATTGTGGTACAGAGGAGGGATGAAATATCACTTGGGTCTTAACAGGATCCCTGTGGCTGCCATGTGGGGAACAGACTATGGGGCTTGTGAAGGATGCACCAGGAGACCAGTGAGGAGGTCACTGCCATTGTCCGGGCAGGAGATGATGATTGGACCAGGGTGGAGGTGGTGAATGAGAGTAAAAGGTGGGTTGGTAATCTTCTTGGTGGGTGGACGCAAAAAAAAATGGAAGTCATGGATTGGGAGGAGAGATATCATATGATCCGGAAGCTCTTTGTGGAGGCTCTTGGTAATTGGGGAAAGGACACTGGGGTCCTAGCTGAAGGCTCTCTAATGAACTGGAGGTTCCTTAGTAGAATCACTTATCTAGATTCCTGAGAGGAAGATTTCTGAATTTTGCATGAGGTCGCATCTGGGTATTGGTAACAAGACTCCTGGCTAAAATAAATAAATACAAAATGATTAAAAAATAAAAAGACTCTGGGTTAGTGCATGGAGTGACCTTCCAACCAGAACAGTGCCTCTAAACATTCCCTGAGGAGAAATTTCAGACATCCCAGGCTGCATGCGGTCCTAGGATAGGTCCAAAGCTCACAGAATTTGGAGGTTCCACATGCTAGTGTTAGCAGACAATAGACATAGAAAACCTTCCTCATATGAACCGCCAGGTGGACTCTGTTCCAAGTGCTTTTCACATATTAACTCATTCCCACCTTACCGCCCCAAAGTCCCCACTCCCTCAGTATCCCCAAATCCAACCCCCTCAGCTTCCATCCTCCACGTCTCCTCAAATGCTCAGGAATGCACCCTTTCTTGGGTCACCCCTGCAGGTGAACCAGCAGTGGCTCCGGCTGCCGGCGACGCTGCACGACGGGAGGCTGAGGTTGCATTTCCGCAGCTCAGAACTCTGGGCAGAGGCAGGTCTGGAGCATGAGCCGCCCGCGCTGCGCCTGGTGTACGACTGGCAGCACGCGCTGTCTCTGCAAGTGACCAACGGCTACCGTGCGCACGTGGTGGGCCTGTGCGGCAACTTCAACCGCGACCCGACAGACGATGTGGGCGGTCCGGACCCGCGCGCTTTCTTGCGCACTTGGGCTCTGCAGCCGCCGGACGCCCCGTGCCACGCCCTCTGGGCTGCTCCCTGCGCCAAGCCAGCGTCCCCACCGGAGACCCCGGGGCCCTGCGCCATCCTGGCAGCTCCGAAGGGGCCCTTTAGCCCCTGCCACGACGTGCTGCTGCCTGCGCCCTTCGAGACCAGCTGCAGTGCTTGGATCTGCCCCTTTCCCAACTACCGACCTGCGCTTTGCTTGACCCTCCAGGCCTACGCGCACGCGTGTCAGCGCCTGGGTGTCAGCATCGACTCCTGGAGATTCCAGACTGGCTGCCGTGAGTGAGCCTTAAGATGGAAAAGGCTATGGGTTACTGGGGAAGGGGATTCTGGGACTTAGGGGGTGGTACTCCTTGATGCTGGAGTTGATTCCTGGGGCAAGCCTGCAGGGTCCCTGGGGTGGGACTGCGGAGGCCCCAGAGGCAGAGTTCGTTGAGTTTGGGGGTGGAGACTTCTCCACCCTAGGGGTGGGATTTCTGGTTTCTGGGACCTGGAACACCTAGGTCTTGGGGTCTTTGGGTCTTAGGGCGAAGGCTTCCGGACCCTGGGGTCCAGAATTAGTTCATTCTAAAAGGCAGGTTTCCTGGATTTGGTAGATGGAAAAGTCTTCTAGGCGACGAGGACTCCAGGCTCTGGGGTGAGAGTTCTGTGTCCCAGGGCCAGACTTTTACGTTCTGGAAAGGGGACTTCTGGTTTCTGATGATAGAAACTTCTTTACTCTGAGATGGAGTTTGCTGAAAAGCCTCCATTCTAGGGGAGGAGGATCCCCAGGATCCCGGGCACGACTCTTGGAAGCGGAGGGCGCGAACGTCTCCATTCCAGGGGTAGCTGAATACTTAGGTCTCTGGAACCAGACTAGGAGATCCTGATGTGAACACTCTCTCCCCTCCACCTTCCTCCTCTGCCCCCAGCCATCGAGTGCCCCCACAACAGCCACTACGAGCCGTGTGGCTCCTCCTGCCCAGAGACGTGCATGGGTCGGTTGCGAGCGTCGTGCCCACTGCCCTGCGGGGAAACGTGCGCCTGTGATGCCGGCTACGTTCACAGCGGCCCTGCCTGCGTCCTGCGGCGCCCCGGGCCTGGTGGCTGTGGCTGCTCGCACCAGGGACGTCTGCTGGGACCAGGCGAGACTTTATGGGAGGGCGTGGGCTGCACGCGCCGCTGCGTCTGCCCAGCTTCAGGAGGGAGTGTGATCTGCACCCAGGCCGGTTGCAGGCCAGGCGAGCGCTGCGTTCTGTCACTCGGCCTGCGCACGTGTGTGCCCTCGAGCATGGCGACATGCGTGGCGGCCGGCGGAGGCCACTATATCACCTTCGATGGGCGCCGGTTTCGCTTTCCTGGCTCTTGCGTGTACCTGCTGAGCGGCCTTAGTTCTCCGGCGCCGCAGGAACTGGCGGACTTCCGTGTGCTCCTGGGCACCGGACCTGATGGCCTCCCGGGTAGCCTCGAAGTGCTCGTGTCTGGGTGTCACCTAAGGCTGGACCCCAAGGAACCCGGTCGTGTCCTGGTGAGAAAATCCAACCCTGCCCACACATGCACCCAGGGATCCCACGTTATGACCTCTGACCCAGGGTCCTCACCTCAAGACTCTGAACCCTGATCCCAAGATCCCCCTAACCTCACCCTAGGATCACACCTTGAGTTTTTGTCCTATGATACTGGACCCTCAACCTAGGACTCCCACCTCCTTGCTCTTGCCCCATGATCTCTGATGCAGCCGCTTAACTTTAACCCCCCAAAACTAACCCCCAAATCAGAACTCAAACCTTAACTCTTTAGGACCAAACCCTAAGTCCAGAAGCCCTTTACCCAGTCCCCCATAACTTCTTGTGGCAAAGGAAAAGAGGTTGTAGTGTTGTTGGAAAGGCTACATGGAAGGCGCTCACTAGGTGCCAATATAATAACACATAATGCACAAGAGTCCTCTTAAGGTAGATACAATTGGCATTGCCATTTTCCAGATGAGGAAACTGTGGCCCAGAGAGGTGAGGCCATTTGCCCAAGGTCACACAGCTGATAAATAGCAGAGCTGGTATTTAAACCTTGGCATTTTGGCTCCAGGGTCTGTTATGCTGTCTCTGCAAATAAAAACAAAACAAAACAAAAAAACATGACCTCAACTACCTCCTTTGTGAAACATAATTCAGAGTCCCCAATGATTCTGACACCACTTCAACATGGCAAATTTTCTCATCAAGGTAGGAAGGGCCCTGGGAAGAGACACTGGGAGAGGAGCTGTGGGGCCGTGGGGCTGACTATTCACTGACCACAGAGGACAGGACCCAGACACCGACAGTTATTTTGCATCAGGAGTTTGCCTTGGCAATATTTTTAATTTATTACTGAATTACCACTTTTTTTCTTTTTGGGTGGATTTTTTTATTGGGATTGCATTGAATCTAAAACTCCAAATGGGGAGACTGTTGAGTTTGCCAGCCCACCAACGTGGTATATTTTTGTTTTTATAAGTCTTTTATTTTATTTTATTTTATTTTACTTTATTTAAATTAATTAATTAACATATAGTGTATTATTAGTTTCCGAGGTAGAGTTCAGTGATTCATTAGTTGCATATAACACCCAGTGCTCATTATATCACGTGCCCTCTTTAATGCCCATCACCCAGTTACCCCCTCCCCCACCCTCCTCCCCTCCAGCAACCTTAAGTTTATTTCCTATAGTTAAGAGCCTCTTATGGTTTGTCTCCCTCTCTGATTTTGTCTTGTTTTATTTTTCCCTCCCTTCCTCTATGCTCCTCTGTTGTGTTTCTTAAATTGCACATATGCGTGAAATCATATAATTGTCTTTCTCTGATTGACTTATTTCACTTAGTGTAGTACCCTCTAGTTCCATCTACGTCATTGCAAATGGCAAGATTTCATTCTTTTTGATGGCTGAGTAATATTCCACTGTATATATATATACACACACCACATCTTCTTTATCCATTCATCTGTCGATGGGCCTCTGGGCCCTTTCCATAGTTTGGCTATTGTGGACATTGCTGCTATAAACATTGGGGTGCAGGTGCCCCTTCGGATCACTACATTTTTACCTTTGGGGTAAATACCCAGTAGTGCAATTGCTGGGTAGTAGGGTAGCTCTATTTTTAACTTTCTGAGGAACCTCCATACTGTTTTCCAGCTTGCATTCCCACCAGCAGTGTAAGAGGGTTCCCTTTCCTCTGCGTCCTCGTCAACATTTGTTGTTTCCTGACTTGTTAATTTGAATTACCCCACTTTTAAATGAGGAAGGCTGGATGTATAGTATCTCTTGAGAAACGAGAAGCCCTGGCAACCGGTCTCCTATTCTAATGGCCACTCATGGTTGGGGCTTTCCTCTCTAGCCAGGGGCACATACTTTCTCTCCAGTTTGTCACAGTCCCCATCAATCCCACACTCTCCACTTCACTCATTTAGTTATTTGTCTGGCCCCTGGAGGCATGTGATTTAGGACCGGGTTTCATGCTTTTCCTGGGACCAGGGGTCTAGCCCTAGGGGGCCCTAAGGGACCCTAATCCCAGAACCTAAGATCCCTCTGCTGCTCCAAGGAACACTGCCCCACAATTACAAATCCTTACTTTATCCTTACAACAATTTTTTCTCAGTGAATATTATTATTTTTCTCATTTTACAGAGAAGTTAAATAAATTGCCAAAGTGAGACAGCTAAACAAACCAGAAGCCAAGATTTGAACCCAGATAACTTGACTCCAAAGTCAAAGGACTCTTAATTACCACAGTTCACTGTCCTGACACATGTAGTTATTAAAATTGGACCATATGAAGCTGCCAATATTTGATTTTTTTTTTCCCTACAAATGTGGCAGTTTCATATAGTTCAACCTAAGTGTAATAAAAGACAATTACTCCTGGCCTGGAGTGTCTGGGACAAAACTCCTAGCTTGGACTCAAGAATCCTAGAGCCTTTATTGTGGGCCCCAGTATAACAGAGCTTTTAGTCCTGATTCTGGGCTCTTGAAACCCCAGTCCTGACCCAAGGATCCCATTTATTCATTCAGCAATCACTTACTGAATACCTACTGTATTGCAGGCACTGTAACATAGGTTATATGTGTTAACTGAATTTCAGACCCAATTTCAGTCCAAGTGGCATCCCCAGACCCAATCCAGGAATTCCAAATCCCCAATTCCCAAAGCTTACAAACCCTCATCCCCAATTCTTATACCCCCAGCCCCAGCTGTTCTGGGCAAATATGGTTAGACCACGGATAGCAGCTTCAACATTTGTATATGTTGTGGACAACCTCCCCGCCCTGAGCCATTTGCATAGCACCCTGGAGCCCCTGCCATTATCTAGAAATCCCAGCATCCCTAGGACTCTACAGCCTGACCAAGCCAAGGAGCCTCATTCATTCATCCATGCATTAGTTCAACAAATATTTATTGAATACAGACTAAGTGCCAGACACTGCACATGTGTCACTTTCAGAGGCTGTCGCTTTCAAATCCCCAAATCTGATCCAGGAATACTACAGGCCCAAATCCCAGAATCCACAGTTCTCACCATCCAAGTATTTGTTGGAAAAAGTAGCAGTACCATGGACAGCATCCCAAGCTTTTTTTTTTTTTCCTTCTTCTTCTTCTTTTTTTTTTTCTTTTTTCCGGTCATTGTAGACAGACCCCTAGTGCCTCAACAAGGCCTTCTGGAGGCCCTGCTCTTACCTAGGGACATAGGCATCCTTGGTACTGATACTGGGTCCCTAGAGCCCCAGCTTGACATACCTTCTTCACACAGGTGAATGGAGACTGGCAGAATCTACCATTCCAGGCTCTGAGCAACAGTACCCTCATCTTTCGCCATGGCTGGGACACCGTGGTCAGCTGCCGCTTTGGTCTGCGGGTGACCTATGCCCCCGGGATCCGCGTGGTGGTGGATCTTCCAGCAGCATATGTGGGCCATGTGGTGGGGCTGTGTGCTAACTACAATGGGGATCCCATGGATGACCTCCAGGTGCCTGGAATTGTGCCGGACACCAAGCTACCTGAGGATGCATTGGTTTGGGCCTTCGGCCATAGCTATGTGGTGGGCTCCCCGACCGGGTGCCTGAATGTTGCTGACAAGATGCCGCCACTGCCACCATCCTGTGTCACACTGCCGGCCACCAGCACCCCAGCCCACTTTGCCCACATCTGTGACATCCTCTTGGACCCCCTGGGGCCCTTCCAGCTGTGCCATGAGATGCTGGCACCAGGTCCCTATGTCCAAGATTGCATGGTGGATGTATGTCTAGGCATTGGACCCTGCCCCATGCTCAGCCTCTACTGTGAAACTTGCCAGCTGCTGGGTGGCCAAGTCTTCCCCTGGCGGAAGTCGAGTCTGTGCAGTGAGTGCCTAGGGCTTCGGTCAGCCTCTCCATCTTTGCTCATCTGGGGAACCTGGTCCCACTCCTGACAGAGGTTCAGCTCCTTGGCTGTTGCCCATCCCAGGGTGCCAGCTCATCCCTGCACAATGTATCCCTGAGACCCTGTACTTCCCACTGCGCCAGCCTCCACCCATCCCTCCACTCCCCACCAGAGACTGGCCCATCCAAAGTGTCTGGCCTACTCTGATGAAAGTCCAGCCCCCAGCTCTCATTCTTCCTTCTTCTTAGCCCTGATTATGGTCCAGCCCTTCAGCCCTTACCTCTCAGGGACTCAGACCTGTTCATGGTCCAGCCCCCAAGCCCTTACCCGTCCAAGCCCTACAGATTAGCTTTGCCTCTGATCCACACCACCTGGTCTTTTGCTATCTGAAGGTTCCCGCAGCTCTGCCCAAGTAGAGCTTCACCCCTGCAGGGCCCCAGATGCCCCATCCTAGCCCCAAGGGGGAGGATGAGATTCCCAACAGCCACATGCCTCGAAGTAATCCTCCAACCCTACTTGCTCCCGCAGGCCCGCTGTGCCCCGCACACTCGCGCTACACGCTGTGCGCTCCGGATTGCTCAGCCACTTGCGCGGGGCTGAAGCCACCGCCTGGCTGCGACGGCCCTGGGCTCTGCCGCGAGGGCTGCGTGTGCGACGCGGGCTTTCTGTTGAGTGGCTCCGACTGCGTGCCCGCGGCTCAGTGCGGCTGCCTGAGCGCCGGCCGCTACTTGGAACCCGGCGCGCCGCTGTCGTCCCCGCACCCCGCGACCGGCCGCTGCTGCCGCTGCCGCCCTGGCGGCCAGGTGGTCTGCAAACCCTGCCGCGCAGCCGCGGGCGGCCCAGGCCTCTGCCTCGCCTCAGACGGCCTCCGTTACCGCACCTTCGACGGCACCACCTTCCACCTCCCGGGCGCCTGCACTTATTTGTTGGTGAGCACGGGCACGGGCCGCCTTCGGGGTGTGTGGCCCTTCGAGGTGGTGCTGGAGAAAAGCCCACGGACGCCCGAGGTCCGCCGCGCGCTGCTCTGCGTGCATGGCCACCGCTTCGGCCTAGACTGGGAGGACTGGGGCTACATCACGGTGAGCCCCCGCCCTGTGCTCCTCCTCCTTTCAGCTGCCTGGCAGTCTCTGTTCTGACGGGTGGGATCTCTGAGTACCGCCGCCTGATGCCCGCCTCTCTCCAACAACTTCATTTCCACTCTCCTCCTCCTTCTCCCTTCTCCACTTCCCCCACCCTCTCCTCCTGCCCCTTCTCCTTTCAATCCCTCTCTCAATAGTTGGGTCTGCACATCCCCGTTCCATGCTGCTCAGGCTCTCTGTCTCTCCCACTTCCTTCCTCTCTCTCTTCACCGCCCACGCCCACCCCGCCTATCTCCCCCACCCCCAATCTTCATCTCGGCCTCTTTTCCTCCTCCATCGGGGTCTCCATGTGCCCTCTCCTGCTCCACGACTACCATCACCTCTTCGCCCTGAAGCCCACCCAGCCTTCCTTGACCCCTGCTCCCTGCTGGCCCAACCCCCTCTCTGGTGCCCCTGCCTCTCCACTGCCCTTCCTCTCGAGGCCTCCCCCTCTTTTTCTCTCCAAAGTGGTCCCTCCCCTCTCTCCTCCTCCTGTCCCCACATCCCCTCCCTCCTCTTTCGCTGCTCTACCGCCCTCTGCTGCCTCCCAGCCCCCAGGTCCACGGATGCCCTCAGGTCCATCTCCGATCCCTGAGTAAGGAGTTACCCCTCTCTCCCTGAACTCCAGGCCCACCTCACCATTCTCCCTCCCCCTCACTCAACTTCCCCTCTCCAGGTCTCCACACACCTTCCCACAATACCCACTCCCAAGCACTGCCCCGAATGTCCCTACCCCTTGAGTCCTCTCCTTCACCCCCTGTCCCTCTTATCACCCCGGCAGTCCCTGTCCACTCTTCCCCCGTTCTGGTACACCACCTCTCTTCCTCCTTGCACACACTGCCCGCACCACCCCTCCTCCCAGACTCCTCCCAGTTCTCCCCAGACCCGGCCCTCCCCCCTCACTCCAGGCTGCCCCACCCCTGCCCGCAGGTGGACGGCGTGCGGCGCTGCCTGCCCTTCGCGCTGACCAGAGGCAGGGTGCGCGCCTTCGCGCGGGGCGCCTCGGTGGTGCTCGCGGTGCGAGGGGGCCCGCGCCTGCTTTTCGGGCTCGGTGGCCACCTGAGCGTGGAGCTGCCTGCGGCCTACCGCGGCCTCACTCGCGGCCTCTGCGGCAACTTCAACGGCAAGGCGTCGGATGACCTGCAGCTGCCGAGGCCCGGGCCCTGCGCCGCGCCACGTCCCTGCCCGGGTTCGGGCTGTCCACCGGCCGCCGAGGACGCGGGCGCAGATGCAGCGTGGCGTGGCTCTTGCGACCTCCTGCGCGAGCCCAGCGGCCCGCTGGCACCCTGCCACGCACTCCTGCCGCCCGAGCCCTTCTTCCAGGCCTGCGTGGCCGACATGGGCCGCGCCCGCGGGAACCGCAGAGTGCTCTGTGCCTTCCTGCAAGCCTACGTGGCTGCCTGCCAGACGGCTGGTGCGGATATGAGGCCCTGGAGGGCTCCCAGCTTTTGCCGTACGTCCCCAGCCAGAGGGCTTTCCGGCCGGGTGGGGTCCGCGGCGGGAGACCGCGGTCTGGGCTTCATTCATAACACAGGTGTTAGTTGAGGACCTACTATGTGTCGGGCCCACGCTAATGATACAGCACCAAACAGGACAGAGTCCTGCACACCCTATGGTTGGGAAAACAGATTTGATTTTATCCCTTAGCTAACATTTACAAAGCACTCATTCAGTATCAGGTGCTGTGTTAAAATTGTTCCCCCTGGACCAGCAGCTGCAGCAGCAATATTCAGGGCTTGTTTACAATGCAAATTCTTGCCCTGTCCCAGACTTACTGAATCAGAAACTCTGGAGTGGCACCCAGCAACCTGTTTTAACAAGCCCTCCAGGAGACCTGGACACAGGCTTCGCCTGAGAACCTGTTTTACCTGCTTTAAGTCAGCTCACTCCATCTGTGAACTGCTCTAGGAGAGAGGGACAAATTGTCTGCCTCCTATAGTCGGGGACAGAGGCACAGAGAATTCCAGATCTCACAGCCAGCAGGGGGCAGAACTGGCTTGTCACCTGGCTCCAGAATCCTCTCTCTGACACCCTATGCTATGGTTTCACTCCCAACAATAATGTAAAAATAGTTCCAGTAGTAACATGAAAACAACAGCTGACCTTACTGTGTACATGCTCAGTGCTAAGCTCTCAATTCTCCCAACAGCCCCATCAGGCAAGTACATTTTATGGGTGAGGGAAACCAAGGCATAGATGGTTAAGGAATTTGCCCAGAGTCACACACCTAGAAAATGACTTATTAGCTGGCACCTGAATATTTTGTTCATTTAACAAATTCTCATCAACTTCCAATTTCTCTGTCCACATGTATCCTCCATAATCCTCATGGACTCTGGGCCCCACCTTGACTTATCATTGTGGTATCAGTATCTATCTCCTTCTGACCTCTTTCTGCCTCTAGGTTCAAATGTTCTTGGAGGAAATCTGTATGGGTTGCTCTTTACTTACAGACTGATGGCCACCTCCACCTCTGTCTGTCATGGTCATTTTCCCAGCCCTGGCCCAACTAGCTGGTCATGGATACACAATGTGGCCACTATGTCAAGCAGGACTCCTAATGGCAATGTCAGAGTCCCAACTCAAACTGAAGGAAGAAAGACCAAACAATCTGAGGCATATATAACTGCGAAGACTGGGGGTGTTCCTATCCTCAGGCTTAGCGGGATTAAGAATTTTCAACTGCAGTTAAAAAAAAAAGTCAATTTTTCTCCTTCTCCGTCTTGTTCGTCCCTTCCATCCTCTCTCTGTGCTAGCTTTATTCTCAAGCAGATTCTCCTCTGGTGGTAGCAGCAAGGCTTTGGCAACTTCAGGCTGACAATTCGATCAGCTTCAAAGCCTTTGCAAAAATGTAACACCCTTTTCCCAGTGGCCCCAGCAAAAGTCCCAGGGTCCACCACCCACAGGTTTTGCCTGTCCAGTTATTGTGATCCAGAGGAGGGAAGAATAATCTGATTAGCCAGCTCTGGGTTCTGTACACATCCCTGGAACCTGGATGTGAAATCACCTCAGTCCACATGTTGAAAGTAAGGATGGGTAGTTGTCAAAAAGCAAGTGGGAGTATTATGGTTAGAAGGGTAGAGAGGGCAAGAAAAGACATCCACCACTAGAATCCACTGACAGGTTCCCAATGGACCCAAATAAGCAGGATAAAAGGTGGGGTCACTTGGTGGTTCAAGTAATAGTCAACCCCTTCAGCTGGGGCTGGGATTGGGAGGGAAAACCCCAGAAAAGACAAAGAGCAGGGAAGCCGTGTTAGTCCTATCTGGGATGCATTCAAGTAGCCAGCACCCCGCATAGCAGGCAGACACTGCTCAGTCTCTGCTGGTTGTTATTGCTGTCGAGGTTAATCCGAGGGGGAGGTCTGCATTCTGAGGGTGCTGGGTCAGCGGAGGGTAGGCCCCTGGCTTGCCTGCATCTGACAAGCCCCCTCTCCACAGCCATGCGGTGCCCCCCCAACAGCCACTACAGTCTGTGTGCGAACCCCTGCCCTGCGGCCTGTCCGGGTGTTCAGGAAGTGGTGCGGCTCCCCACTCCCTGCGCTGAGGGCTGTGAGTGTGACGATGGATTCTTCCCAGCCGGGCGTGACTGCGTCCCCGCGGACCACTGTCCTTGCTTCCACAATGGCCAGTACTTTCCTGTGAGCATCCCCTCGGGTTCTTGTCAGAGCTTCACTTGGGTCCTTGTCAGAGCTTCACTTGGGTCCTTGTCAGAGCTTCACTTGGGTCCTTGTCAGAGCTTCACTTGGGTCCTCCCACTTTGCCTCAGATCTCCATGCACTTCCTTGTATGGGTCTCATCTCAGAACCTCTGGCTGCACCCTCCCTTCAATGCTACCTCCCTCTTCACCCTCCCTCCCCTCCTCCACAGCCTGGCCAGACTGTCCTCATCCAGAACTGCTCCTCCTCCTGTACCTGCCAACTAGGGGAGGGCGTGGCCTGCGTGCCCTTCAGCTGCCCTATGGAGGAGGTCTGTGGCATCACAGATGGAGTCCTAGGCTGTCGATTGCAAGGTGCCCGGGGGTTTTGGTCTGAGGGGTCAGAGATTGGGGCATGGCTCCTAAGTCCTGGGAAGGAGAGGACTGGTGACCCAGACTCCTGGGACTCATATGTGCCTGCTCTTCTCTCTCTCCCCCACAGCCACCTTGGCCCCTGCCCCGAGCTCTGTGGCCCCACCACTGGTTTCCTCACCTTTCCCACCCCTGCTCCCCAGCCCCAGTCCCCAGTGCCCAGAAAACTCCCATTTTGTTCCATGTGGCTCCACGTGCCCAGCCACGTGTGCCAACCCCGCTGCCCCAGATCACTGTAGCCACCCCTGTGCTCCGGCCTGCCAGTGCCTACCTGGCTACCTGCTGCTAGGGGGCCGATGTGTGCCCCGTGACCACTGCTCCTGCTTCCTGCACCAAGGCCGGACTTTCTGGAGAGACAACTGTACTCAGCAATGCCACTGCCCGACCCTTGGTGCCCCGGTGAGCAAGCTTCCCCAGTGTTGGCCTGACAAGTGCCATGGTCACTGCAAGGCCTCCACAGGTGGCTGGTACCACTGCCTGTTAGCCCAGTCCCCACCCAGTCCCACTGTCCTGGAGAAGTCACTGGTCTGCATGGCCACTGGAGACTTCCACTTCCACACATTTGGAGGAACCTACTATGAATTCCCTGGCTCCTGTGTCTACCGCCTGGCGGGTCTCTGTGGCTCAGCCCCTGCCAACCTTCAGCACTTCAGCCTGGATTTGACCCCACTGCTGTGGCCACGTGGCTGGACCAAGGCCCTGACCCTCTTAGCCTGTGGCCTGAGGCTGGACATGAGTCCAAAAGATCTCAACCGCATCCGGGTGAGTTTTCAAAGGCTCCAGATCAGCCTATTATCTCTTACCATCCCCACTACCCACAGGTAACCTGTAGTGACCCCTCTTTTCCTACTGATGCCCCCTTTATTGACTCTCTCACTGGTCCTCAAAGATGTCCTCCAATTTCTTAGTGGCCCATTGACTTGCCTGTTGACCCCTTCCCACAGACTCTCTATTTGAGACTCCTCTTCCCTTGAGTCTCCTATCACCTTCCCAATAACCCTCCACTGAGTCCTCAGTTGACTCCCCTTTAACCATAGACTCAGCCTTGATCTTCCCATTGACCTTCCCTTTCTCCCCCATCGAATATCCCATGAACCCATTCATTGCCCCTCCCCAACTGATCCTACTACTGTTATATTGACTTGCCCATTAACCCTATTTACTGTCCTCTTGATCTCACCCCAAACACCATAGATATGTACTGAGCTATCAGTTAACCTTCCTAGTAATCCACCGACTGGACCATTGATACCATTTACATGTTTATGGATCTTCCCATTGAGCTTCCTATTGCCACTGAATTTTCAGGGCTTTCTATTATCCCAATTGTGCCTGTCTTTGATTCTTAGTCTCACCCATTGAGACTTCCTTAGACTGTTCCATTAAAATTCATTGACTCCACCCCCTTTTACCCACCAGCTGAGCCTCCCCATTGCCACCCAAAGCCACCTTAAGCATTCTCTTGATCCTCATACCCCTTATATTTGTCTGTCCACATCGCCATTATCCCTCTTCTTGATCCTCCCATTGATCCCTTACTGACTCCTCCCTACTGACTCCCTATTTATTCTTTTTACCCTTCGTTGATCTCCCACGGACCCCTCATGAACTCTTATCTAATCACTCTACCATTGAACCCCCTGCCCCATGGAATCCTTTACTTACCCTCCAGTTAGCCTCCACTGATGGTCTATTGGATCTCCTTATGATACCTAATGACTACCCTATTAACCAATTTTCCCCCTCATCCTTCTCTGATCTTTTATTGACATTTCCAAGAATTTCTATTGAAATCTCCTACATCCTTCTCCCGCTGTTTTCGCCACCTGCATGCCCTCCCTGTAGGTGGATGGAATTCTGGAATCGCTGCCTTTCTTTCACGGCCACTGCCTCCGTGCCTACTACCAAGGCCGCCAACTCTGCGTAGACACGGACTTCGGCCTCTCCCTGACCTACGATTGGGACAGCCTGGCACGTGTAACGCTGCCGGGGCCCTATGGACCCTACCTGTGCGGACTCTGTGGCCAGCACGGCCCGAGCAGCTCCACCGTGCCGGTGCCCGACACCTGGAAGGTGGCAGAAGTGCCGGGCTGTGGCCCATTCTGCGGGTCCCTCTGTCCCAGCCCGTGCCCAGTGACCAAGCGCCCTCAATTCGCTGGAGACGCGTACTGCGGGCTGCTGGCGGCGGCCGAGGGTCCCTTCGGGCCATGCCACGCCGCGCTGGACCCGCTCCCTTTCATGGACAACTGCCTGGACGACGTGTGTCGCCACTACGGCGCTCGTCACATCGTCTGCCGAGCCCTGGCCGCCTTCACTGTCGCCTGTCAGGCTCTGGGCGTGCACCTGCGGCCCTGGAGGACGCCTGACTTCTGTCGTGAGTGCGCGGGGGTTGGCAGAGATAGCGGGTGAAGCTCGGAAGAGCTAGGATTTGGGACGCCAGGGGCCGGACGCGAGAGGACCAATGGGGAAGTTCAGGCCTGGGTGGGTGGAGCCAGGCGCAGAAGGGTGGGACTTGCAGAGGAGTTAGACCTGGAGGGGCAGCAGTTTAATTAACGAGATCTTCCTGTCTTTTGTGCCTGTCTCATTGTCACTGTCTCTCTGTCTCCCCGGTGCTTCTCTGTGCCTCACTGTCTCTACCTCGCGTTCCCATTCTCTGTTCCTCGTTCTCTCTCCCCGCGGTGTTGCTCTCCACGCCCCCCGCCCCGGCCCCACATCCTCCGTCTCCGTCTAACGGTCTGTTCCTCTCAACCGGCTTACCCCTTTCTCTGTCCCTCGCTATGTCTTCCCCGCGTCTCCCCATCTCTCTCCCCTCGCTCTGACCCTCCCACCGCCGCGCCTCTCCCCAGCCTGGCGGTGTCCGCCGCACTCGCACTACGAGCTGTGCGGCCCGTGCTGCCCAGCCACGTGCGCGGGCGGAGAGAGCTGCTCCGGCCGCGGCGCTAGCGGCAGCCGCTGCTGTGAGGGCTGCGTGTGCGACGCGGGCTTCGTGCTTAGCGGCGCCGCCTGCGTGCCGGAGGCCAAGTGCGGCTGCTTCCGCGCCGGCAGCTACCGAGCTCTGGGTGCCGTGTGGTACCCCGGGCCC